TCATGGCTCGGTGTAGTTTTGAAAATATCTCTTAATGGGAATCAGTGACCATATGGATGAGACAGAGGAACATATCTTGGCTTAATAAACCAAGATGCAAACACATCTTCTGACTCTGTTCTCTTTCTGTATGTGTAAGCAAACAGACAAACTAGAAGGTCTTCAGTTGTTTCACAGAAAGCATATAGGATAGTTTAGGGTTATTTATTTATTTATTTTGTGTCAAAAGCATTGTATAAATAAGTATAAAACTGATAAAAATAGAAGGAGCACAAGCAGCTAAATATTTTTAGACCAAAACCAGGCAACAGCGACTGCATTGTCTGTCGCTTTAAACAATTCTCCCTGTGTACAGGAAGGAGGACACTGTGGACAAGGATACAGATGTGGAGTTTGTTCTGCTCCACAGTCACACAAGGTAAAGGATTCTTTTAGGTAGTGCTATTTTGCCAGGTTGTCTTTTGATTTGCCCACTCCACTTCTGAGTCTGTTCAGGGACTTCCAAGTTTCCCATTCTTGGTTTGCACCTGGAGACAGAGCCTCATGAGGGGAGGGGGCATCCAATTGGGATTTCCTGATATTGATATGGGCAAACTTTGGCTCTCTAGATGTTTTGGACTTCAACTCCCAGAAATCCCTGCCAGCTTAGGAATTGTGGGACTTGAAGTTCAAAACACCTGGAGGGCTGAAGTTTGCCCATGCCATGGTTTATTAATACCACAAAACTGAATTACTGTGTTGTGAAATGATGCATGTCTAAAAAATGTGTCACCGACATGGAATGTTTGGAAAATTCCGGTCTAGACTATTTGAAAAACCATGTCTTCCCATGTGAGCCTGCTTTCTCTTGGCCCCAAAACAGTCACAAGAACATCTGGTGAGGACATGTGAGAGGGCTTTTCCAGTCACTGCTCCCAGACTTTGCTGTGTGTGTGTCTCTCTCTCTCTCTCTGTCTCTCAATCTCTCAATGCTCTTATTTTAGGAGCAACTACTGAATGTCTGAAAAACAACAGATCCTGACTGATCTTGGAAGCTAAGTAGGGCCAGTCCTGGTTAGCACTTAGATGAGAAACCACCAAGGAATACCATGTGCTCTAAAAATACCAGGTATTTCAGAGGATGGAACTAGCAAATCCACCTCGGAGGATTCCTCACCTAAGAAAACCCTATGAAATTCATAGGGTTGCCCTAAGTTGACAAGCGACTTGAAGGCATACACTCATGTATGCTAATACTTTTATGTTGAGCCATTTTGAGTCTTCTTTGGGAGAGATAAAGCGGGGTATAACACCACCACCACCACCACCACCACCACCACCAACAACAACAACAATGTACAACAGATAGAGGTGTGTGAACCATCTAAAATGAAGCACCTCCTAAATTCTCATTGATTTCAATAAGTGATATCAAGTCCATGGCTATGAAATCCATGGGGTCTCCATACCTTTGACAGGCAAATTGAAGTCACAAGGTCTTTTCATTTGAACAAGCACTTAGTGATGAGCTGGTTATAGCAGAAGAGGTATTCAAAGAAGGAGGGGTGTTGTATTTTAAACTTATAGTTATGTTTCAAATGCATTTAAACTGGTCTTAGCACACTTTTCAAAGCTGATTTAATTATTTTACAACTTTTTAAATTTTTCTTATAGTCTGTTTTTAGCTGCATTTGCTTTAATCTATATGGTGAGCCACATAGAAAGATGGAAAATAAATTTTAAACAAAAGGAATTCTGAACTCAAAAGAGGAATTCATAGCTATTGGCATAATTATTGGAAGGAATATATGAGGGCTATATGGAAATATGACAAATTAGAACATAAAAGAAAAAGAATAAATGCCTGATTACAAAAATTGTCGCTTCTTGCAAGAAGTCTCTGATCAGAATTCTGCCTTAGAAGAAAGACTGACCTGGATTCCACCCTAGAACAAACAGTTGGATTATATTGCAGTAAATGGTATTACTAATAAATTTGTCCCCGTAATATAGTCTATAATATATTTATTAATACAGCCACTTTAGGCAAACCAAGTCCTGCGTACAGCACTTTAAGTGAACCAGGTTGCCATTTAATACATGGCACAACGGTTCCCATTCTGTTCTTATTAATGCAGAATTTGACACTTGCAGCCCTATGGACTTCACTGGAAAGTCATTAATGGAAATGAGATTGAAATCCAGCTCAGGGTCTTTGGCTCACAAATAGGCTCACTCTCTGACTCAATCAAGGTGAAATGAAAAATTTTAAGTATAAATTTCCCCTGCATGGCAAATCATATCAATGGCAGTTGATAGCGCAGGCCATTCATGGAGAAGCCGAGCCGACTGTCTGACTTTAGCAGTGTGTGGGATCTGAAATCTGTCTGAACGGGAAGAGCTTCATCAGTGAGGTGACAGCGACAATTAGCATAGGGAAGCCTGATGAAATAAAGACAGAGTGAAGTCCCAGGATGAGAAATAGATTATCTACTGTCACAGAAAACAACAGACAGGAGACAAAGAGACAGTTACTAGGTGACAGCGCGAATAGGAGGAAGGAAGCCAAGGAATAAAAATGCTGGGGTGAAGCAAGAAAAGTCCCCGAGGCAAGACAAAATACCCACTGGTGAAGGAAGGGAGAAGAATGAGTAGAGATGGAAACATGATCAAAGTTAGATGAGATAGCAGTTATAACACTGACTGCAGGGGAGGAAACGTGCATTTGAAAGAGATACCGCATATAGACACAGGAGAAAGCCTTTTGTAAGAAGTAGCATCTACACCAAGTCTACCTATAATTTACATTAAAAAAAGATGTAAAGCACAAAGCACTGACCATTTAAGGTGGACCACCAAATTGAGCCCCTTCTTCATAAAGGCAAGTTACTAAGTATCCAAGTTCAAATAATAATAATAATAATAATAATAATAATAATAATAATAATATGCCCGAGTTCTGTTGGGAAGTTATGAAAATGTAACCTAGAATTACAAATTTATTACTGACTGCCATTCAATACTTGATGTTTTGTTTTATGTCTGTTACAATAGGCTGTGTTTTTTATTTAATTTAATTTTAGTTGTTAAGTTGTAATTCATGTTTATATGTTGGGCTGTTTAAATTTTGTTAGTATGGATGTATTGCTGTTGTATTTGGGCATTGAATGTTTGTGGCTTTTATGCTTGGAATCTGCCCTGAGTTCCTTCGGGGAGATAGAGTGGAATATAAATAAAGTATTATTATTATTATTAATTATTATTATTATCCCTATGTTTTCCCAACTGTAAGGGATGCTAAGGATTTAAGAAAATCCCCTAAAATCCACTTCCAAGGAAGCAGCCTCTCAAATTGATGGAGGGACTGGTTCTATCACTTGGGAAGCAACTGAGGGATGTTTCCACATACCACAAATGTGAACTATCTCTTATGTGAGGAGAAATTACTTTCCCCTTGCATCTGCTGCAGTAGAGATCAATCATGGGAGGGGGTAGGGAAATGGGTCAGATGCCCATGTGGTCTCTTCCAACTCTATTATTATTATTATTATTATTATTATTATTATTATTATTATTATTATATGAAAGAATGGTTATCTGCTGCAGTGGCAACACAGGAGGCTTCCCATGTTGCATAGGCAACAACGGGAGGAAGCCAAGGATCAGATGCTTCTCCCTGTGGGATGGGTGAGAGGCAAGGTGGATGATACAGGGTGTGACGACGGGTTCCCTACACATCACACTGAGTGCCACTGGATTCACCAAAATGTGCTACCTTTTCTTCTCTCACAAAAGCTTTGGGTCTCTCACCAGTTTTACATAAAACATAAAGTCAAAACCTCACAAGAGTGTGGGGAACAGCTGGATTTCTAAGGGAAGCCATTTCTAAACTTAGGAAGCTACCACTAAGAAAGCCCTGCCAAATGCATTCAGTGAAAACTCTGATGCTGAAATAAAAGCTGAAGACTGAACTCAGTGTTGGGTTTCACCCCTGGACTGCACAAGTTGATTGTGTTATCAAGTCTACAGGCCTCATTGAGTAGCTAGGCTAGAAATAGGATTAGAGTGAGGGATTCCTTCCCCCACATTCCTATGCATGTTTCTCCCAGAAGGGAATTTGTCTTTACTCTTCTTGCTTGCCACTATCTCCTCCCCCTTTGAAGACGTAGCAAGGGAATCTCTGTGAGGAATGAGGTAACTTCCTCTTTAAAGGTATTTTATTGCCCTGGGTTATGGCCATGTGGTCATCCTCCATTGCTCACTCTCTGCCTTTGTATCCCTTCCAGTGAGGACACATTTTGTCTTTCTCCAGGTAAAATGTCACTGCATGGATTTTTTTTATCCCTTTACCCTCCATAGAATATGGGTTTTAGCAAGCTAGTTAGCTCCAAGACCTTTTCTATCTAGAATTTATTTCTTTTCTTGAATAAATATTTTGAACCTAAAGTTCTGTATTTGCAATCCTGTACCATCCTGTTCAATGAAAGCTAATCCTGACTTACCATAGGTAAGTTGCTGATCATGAAGTCTGCTTCTACCACTCCGATATATTTATGGTAGAATCACCCCAAGTGAGGGTTATTTTTGAGCCTAACAGCTCTGATTCCCAACACACAGAATACATAATTTCATGGTTATTGTTACTGAAGTTCTCTCCAAGCTCTGTGGCCTGGACACATGTTGATCTGAGAGATTCTGTTCTGCAGCAGTCCTGCTAGAGAGATTCAAACTCTGAAATTCTTCTCCTATCCTACCCAATCCACCTACTAGGATTTAAACATGTTAACTCTGATATATGATGATCCAGCAGTCTAAAATCAGTTTTTGGATCCACCGAATCTATTTCTTTGTGGGGCTGTCTCTCCTTCTTCATTTAAAAATACATCCTCAACTCTCTGATGTGCTCCTGAATAAGTAAAGTATAGCCATGTCATGGGTAACTCTCATAGTCTTGGAGACTTCAGGATAAACACATTTTGAAACACACATAATGTAACTGGGAAACAAAGTAGAATGTATACCTTTGTGAAGGTCAAACAGTCCTTGTCTTGATCCTTGTCCTTTATTTCAAAGTCATAAAGTGCTTTGCCTTGAGGTGGAGCTGGTGGAAGGGGCTTGATACACTGGATATAACTTGCTGGGAAAAAGCCATGATTTCCATTGAGTTCTCCATGATACCAATTATCATCTACTTTTCGCCGCAGTATAATAATATCTCCTTTGTTAAACTTCAAATCACCTGGCTCTTTCCCTTCATAAGCATAGAGAGCTTTTCCATAAGGAAGCTGAGAGGGGTTCTGCAACAAAAAAAGAAAGATCGCACCTATGATTATTATACAAATTACAATATCTGATTTTAAAAATCATATTATTTTTATTTTTATTTACTCATAGTTTTTTTCATCATATTATAGAAGGCAGTTTTCAAAAATCTCAATATAGGGCAAAAAAAATAAATAAAACTCAACCTAACATTGTAACCATTTGTATCAAAATCAAAAGAAACATTTGTAAAAATATTACCTATATAAATAAAAAATGTAATGTTCATTTGTGGGATTAACAGAACTCAAAAACCACTGGAAGAATTGACACCAAATTTGGACACAAGACACCTCTCAGACCAATGTATGTCCTTCACTAAAAATGATTTTGTCATTTGGAAGTTGTAGTTGCTGGGATTTATAGTCAACCTACAATCAAAGAGCATTCTGAACTCCACCAATGATGGAATTGAACCAAAATTGGCACACAGGACTCCCATGACCAACAGAAAATACTATAAGGGTTTGGTGGGCATTGACGTTGAGTTTGGGAGTTGTAGTACACCTACATCCAGAGAGCTCTGTGGACTCAAACAATGATGGATCTGGACCAAACTTGGCACAAATATTCCATATGCCCAACTAGGAACACAGATGGAGCTTGGGGGAAATAGACCTTGACATTTGAGAGTTTTAGTTACTGGGATTTATAGTTCACCTACAATCAAAGTGCATTCTGAACCCCATGAACGATAGAATTGGGGCAAACTTCCCACACAGAACCCCTAAGACCAACAGAAACTACTTAAGGTCACCCAGTCCAACTCCCTTCACCAGGGCAAGAAAACTTAATCAAATACTGTTTATCCACAAGCATAAAGAAATTACATATATTAGAAACCAACACTTTCTCATTACTTTATTTTCCAAATCACCAGATGGGGCCACAGCAACGCGTGGCAGGGGACAGCTAGTCCCTAATAAAATAAGAACTCTACATAAGCTTAAATAAAACCAGCTTCATTGAGTGACCAGTAGGTAGTGAAGGGGCATCACATTTCATTAAGAAGGGTTATTTCTCAAGGAGATTGTTCCAAATACAAGTCGTCCCCGGGTTACGAACAAGATAGGTTCTGAATTTGTATGTAAGTCAAAACAGGTACTTTTTAAAGTGTAACTACAGCCAATTTCTTTTTAGTTTTGGACAGCATATAGAAAGGTTAGCACTCCCGTAACATTTGTTTTTGTGCCTGTGCCCCTGTTCAGAAGATTTTACCTCACTTTCTGTCCTTGTGATAATTGGATTTTGAAAAAAAATGGCTTGTTGTGGAAACAAGGACTAGTGACAGAGATTCAGTGGAGACACTTTTTCCGCATGATAACTCTTTCAGGAGTAAATTTCCCTTCCTCGGAGTAGATTTTTCTCACTTTCTGTGTTCTCACCCCATTTGTAACTAGGAGTTGGATGTCCTAATTCAGAAACGGCCTGTAATCCATGAGCTGGGGAAAGTACAGTATATTCTGGCGTATAAGACTACTTTTTAACCCAAGAAAATCTTCTCAAAAGTCAGGGG